GTGAGTTCCTTGTATATCAATGTGATCAGTCCCTTATCAGTTGGATGGAGTGCAAAGATTTTTTCCCAATCAGTGGGGTGTCTCTCTGTTTTGGTTAATGTCTCTTTTGCTGTGCAGAAGCTTTTCAGTTTGAAGTAATCCCAGGTGTTTACCTTGGCCTTCACTATCACTGCACTATCATTGGGTGATGAATCTTTAAAGATGTTTCTGAGATGTATGTCTTGTAGTGTTTTACCTATATTTTCTTCTATATATTTTATGGTTTCAGGTCTTATGTCCAGTTCTTTTATCCATTTTGAGTTGATTTTTGTGCACGGTGAGAGGTAGTGGTCTAGTTTCATTTTTTCGCATGTGGTGGTCCAGTTTTCCCAGCACCATTTACTGAACAAACTGTCCGTGTTCCATTGCATATTCTTTGCTCCTTTGTCAAAGATTATTTGCTCAGATAAGTGCGGCTTTATTTCTGGGCTCTCTGTTCGGTTCCATTGGTCAACACAGATATTTTTAAAGGAGAGAATACTACATAAAAATATTTTTTTCAGGAAAGCATACATTATCAAAATTATTTTAAGAAGTAGAGTTTGATAACTATAGAAAAAAATTGAAGTTTAAAAAAATTTGTTTTTAAGAAAAGCTGATTGGAAGTTTAGAACAAGTTTTTTAAACTTCTGAAGAAGACATTACCTCCTGTTCTTTTTAATTGTTTCAGAACATAAGGGGAAATGGAAAAACTTATTAATAAATTCACTTTCAAAAGACCATATAGTTTTGAAACCAAAACTGACAAAAAATCAAATAACACACACACAAAAGAAAATGGAGATCATTACTAGTTTTAAAAATACACGAGAAATCTCAGCAGTGTATTAAGAAGGCATGACAAGATAGGATTGAAAAGCAAGTACAAACATATGGCACTTGTTATATTCTAATATCTGCTTAAATATTTACTCAATTCTCACAATGATAAATTAGGTGGGTCCCCTACTTTATTCCTTTTACCAGTGAGGGAATTAAAGTACTGGAATAGTAAGTAACTTGCGCTAAGTCACACAATGAGTAAGGGAAGGCCCAGGCTCAAATTCAGATAACCTGGCTTCAGAGTCACACCCTTATCACCACCTATTTTGCCTTTTATGCCAATAGATTATTGGAAGAAACTGATGCACACATCTCAGTGTGGAAAGGGCATGTGATAACATTCAGAACCCATACCTGCTTTTAAAACATTTAAAACTAAGAGAGAAAGTTATGTTATTGTTCTCTCTGAAATTAGCTTTTAACAACATGATCAATAGAGAGACTAGAGGCATTCACACATGTATGAGGCAAGGATACTAACACTGTTATGGTAGTTTTACTAAATGCAGCCAGATGGGGGGAAGGGAAAGGGAATAAAGAGTTTGAGTCAGAAAACAGAAAAACAAATTATTATTTGCAGAGAATATTATATTCTACCCAGAAAACTAAAGAGGGAATTAAAGATCTGCTAAAGTAATAATAGAGTTCAGTACAAATAATATAGAGAAAATAAATACAGAAAAAGTATTTGCTTTCTTTATCAAAAGCACAAACTCAAATACTTTTAAAGACCGGGTTGTAACTTAAATGTATGACGACTTCTGGTGTAAGAAATAAGCATTCACAATAGCAAGATAAATATAAAGTAGCTAAGACTTAATGAGAGATACAGAATCTTTGTGCTGAAAAATGAATAAATTAATGTAAATTATGTTACCAGATCATTTGTAGAATAAAAAGGTGAGACCATCCATGCAAGTATAGAGTAATGAGAATAAGAAGGGAAAACTTTCACTCTCCCTATATATTACAAAGTATATGACAACTATAGTTATTTAAATTGTGTTTCATTTCTGGTCTGCTTGTTTGGTAAAAGAAGAGATAGGTTATTACATTAGAAAAGAAAATCCAGAAATGTACAGAAGTATAGATAAAATTCTGTTCTGTGGTACATTTAAAAATTCAAAAACAATGTCCTAACCACTAGTCACTGAGGATACAACAATGAATATGGTAGACAAGGTTATATTTCTTTTCATAGTCTGGTGTGAGCAGTAAGCAATATACAAATACACCAAAACTAAAGAAGAAAAAATTATAATTCAAGTAGAGTGCTATAATAGTGACTTGAGGAGGAGATATTTAAACTGATAAATGAATGGCTAGAAGGAGTGAGCCTTGTGTAATTTGAGGGAAAGAACCTTTCACAATAAGGGAATATGCCCCTCAAAGCTATCCGACTTGGTATGTTTGGAAGCAGAAAACAGGCCAATGTGCACGGAGCAGAGTCAACAAGGAGTCAATAGTACAGTGTGAGTTTGCCAGGAGCTAGATCTTACAGTATGTGCCACCCAAGATAAGTAGTTTGAATTTTATGTTTTATTTTATTTTATATATTTTACATCATTTTTCATTTTTGCACAATGTATGCATTTTCATCTTGGTTATATTCCCCATACAATTTTGACCCTAATCTCTCCTCTCTTCCTCCCCCGCCTCCGTGTGTCTCTGGTTTATAGTTGCTTGTTGATTTTGATTTTTACTTTATTATAATTAGTCTTTTTCCTGGTCCCTTATTTAGGTTTTCTAAATTCCTGCTATGAGTGAGACCATCCGGTATTTTTCTTTTTCTTTCTGGCTTATTTCGCTGTGAATTTTAAGTATAGGAAAATATTGGGAGATTTTTCAGAGGCGGAGTGAGAGTCTGACTTGTAATTTATAAAGATAATTCTGGTTTCTATTTGTAAAATGGTTTGCAAAGATGCCAGCGTTGAAGCAGGTAACCCATTAAATAACCTGTAGAGATAATGGAGGAGAGATGAAGGTAGCTGATTAGGTGGCAGTAGTGACGCTGCAAAGAACTGAATGATTAGAGTATGCTCTGGCAGAAAAGTCAGTTGCACTGAATTGGGACATGGAAGAAAAAGGAATCGAGAGTAATTCCTAATTATGTGCTAAAGGAACTGGGTAAAGGATATTGGGAAGGCTGAATGTATCCCTAAGATGGGCTTAGTATATGGAATCAAGTTTCAAATCTATCAAGTTTTAGACAACTGCTGGACTTTGTGAGGAGATAACAAGTAGGCAATGGAACATAGAAACCTGGTGTCCCGATGAGAAGTTTGACTCCAGACTGGGCGATCCATCTGGGCAATACCGTATACGGATGATATTTCAAGCCGCTGCACACGTGAGAGTTAGAGAAGCAAAGGAGTCCAGAAACGTAAACTAGATACTCTGATATTTGAAGGGTAGTCAGAAGAGTGACAGCAAGGAAAGAGGTATTGAGGGGGTCTGCAGGAAAAACAGTCAGGCATTGAAACCAAAAGGAGCAAACATTTCAAGGAGGATAGTCAACTGTGATAAATGCTGCTAAGAGTTCAAATAAGATAACAAATAGAGGTCATTGCCTAGCTGGAAAATAGCAATCTTGGTGAGGTTGTTGAGTATGGGATTTCAATTAGAATGAGAGGTGAGGGAGTGGAAATTGTTCCTTCTTACAACCTTTTCTATATAATTAAAGTGACATTTCAACCATTTTAATATGATAAAAAGTTCCTCTGATTTGCTGAAAGTGACAGTTCAAATCAGTCAGAGGAACAAGGAATATTTCATAAATGACATTAGACTGATTTCTCACTTATATTGGAAAAAAAGTAAATAATTTGATTGCAGTATTCTAGAAAAAAAGTAAACTTCAAAAGGATAATAAGCCTTCTCTCTAAGTAGTGGTATAATGGGTGTTTTCCTTTGTAGTTACACATTTTTTAATTTTAATTTTTCCCTAATTCTTTTTCATTCAAAAGAATTAGTGTCTTTTCATAAAAATCAACTATTTCTAAATACTAGTTTCAAAAATCAAATTAGATAGACTCATTTCAACAGACTGTTGGCATTGTATCATGAACCTACCATCTAGAAAAGTCTGAACTTGAAGAGTTATAACACAAGGTGTGTGTCCTAAGCTAGACAACAGTACCTATGAAAAGTTAAAATTAGAGCTTATAACTCCTGATTACTGATGATCATGTAAAACTCTGAAAATGAAAAGACTTGGCACAGGAAAGATCATGGCAATGGATTCATTGTGAGTAACATCAGTGGCGTGCGCAGCCAGAATTTGCACCATGTTGGATAGCTCCATGGGAGAAAACCACAAGATATGGTGACTGATTGGTGGTTACCCCAAGACCTTGTCAGTGCAGTTAGTAATGGGGAAGAAATCCTTCCTGTTCTCTCAGGAATGTTTGCTCATCAATTAAACAGATTAAGCAAGTAGCATGTATAACCTATGATGTTTAGCATCTCTGTGTATATGTGTGTTAGCATATGTATGTCTCCATTACCACAGGAGATCAGAATCAGCTGTTCACAACCTCCCTGGATTATTTCTGGGTCTTGTTTCCAGTGCTCAAGCAGTTTTTTCCAGTCTAATTAAAGAAGGGTTAGCTCTGATTAAGTTTGAAGAAATGTGGTTAGTGAAAGAGGCCACAAAATGGAGATTTCAGAACTGGAGGTGGGTGGAGGCCTCACTCGTCTGTGTTTTACTCTGTGACTGGTTGCTGTGGGATTTAGAGATTTTCTCGACTGGTCCATTGCTCAAGTTAATGTCCACCTAGAATGTACTACATGTTAGAAAGATGAGAAGGATCTTTATTTCTTCATCTGACTCAGCAGAGGATGCGTGCCTACTTGCAACTGACACAGGTACTATATGAGTGGGATGGAGGAGTAAAAAGAAAACAAAAAATACGCAAGTAACAGATGATTCAAAATTCTGATTGTGACTCAGAAGCAAAGTATAAGGCTATAGTTAGCTACTTTCCCTTACTCTCCACAGTCCCTAGGTGAGTGCTACAGAGGAAATGATCTGATGTGGAGCGGGACTGACTACTACTTGTGTCAGAAAACCATGAGGTCACCAGGGTGTACGAAAACATAGAAAAGGAAGGTTTTTAAATGTCAGTGGCATTACTCACATGTCTTTTCTGGCTGTTTCAGTGTATTCTTTATCCTCATATGCTGATTGACACACGTTTCCCTTATCCCTGATCAGAAATAGAATGCTCTTCTCAATTTAGCTCTCAAGCTATTAAATGGTATATCTCAAGTTTTCATAATCTTCATTTCGCAACCTGAAGGCAACATAAGCAATGTGTCATCTGGTTTCTTTTAATATGTTTATTTAGAACTTTCATTGTATAAATTGTTTTTCTTTGAGATGTTTCTCACTCCTTGCAAGTCCTGTTTTTCTGCTTATATTTCCCTTTATTTAACTTTGTTTTCCTGCTAATAGATCATGTGCTTGATATTTTCAATTTAATTTCAAGATGCTGAGCTCTTAGTAACTCATAATGAGGAGCCCTGTTCACTCCCAGTTTAAGTGCTGGATAATGTACTTCTGCTTTAGATGAAAGAGATGTCTCTCCTATGGCTACCCTCAGTCTAGTTGTTCGACTGTGAATGTGGCATGGGCTAGTGATTCCGGCTAGAGCCAAACACTCTCCTCCTTTCTTTATCATTTCTTCCATCTCATCACTCTGGCTAATCCTTACTCTGATTCCAGATGTGCACCCTGGGCTGTCTCTATTTGCTATATTTGTTAAACTCTTCCCCAACTCAACAAGCTTCCTCTTCTTGATCTATTATCATACTCCCAGAGCTTCCAAACTTCTCCTCTAGCAACCCAATCACAGAGACCACAGCTAACCATCACTAATGAACAGCAAGTTAGCAGTCACTGCATTTGAGGCTATGGTTGGCCACCACATCATAATTTGTTAATTTTAATTATCCTCATGAGGTATTATTTTCAAACTGAGTTTTAAATGAGCCCTACTTAGCCATATTTTTAATGTTTTTTACATCATTGTTCATTTCATTTTTAAACAATGTTTGCCTTTCTTCCCACCGCCCCCCCAATGTAGTCCCCATAAAATTTCCTTCACCAGTGCACCTGTGTACCATCATCAGTCCCCTGTGCTACTTCCTTCCTCCCTCTCCATTTTTAGTAGACTGAGGAACCTCCGGACAGCTTTCCATAGTGGTTGGACCAGTTTGCACTCCCACCTCAGTCGACCTGTTTGAAGATGATTTTGATCAAGACTTTTCTTAGCACCTTTCAGAGATGACCAAGGCCAAAAGTTCATACTTGGTTCTAATCTTTATTCCTTGAGCAACCCCTGCACTTTGTCATTCTGTGGTGCCACAAATTCTCCTCCTAGGAGCACAAAAGAACTTCTTATTGGAGAAACAGAGAAGATGCTCCATGGATTCTTACTTATCTGATTGGCCATTGAATATGACCTTACATCTACAATGTTCATAACATTGTGCTGATTTATTTATTTATTTTTAAAGATGTATTTATTTATTTTTTTAAAGGACTGTCTGCTTTTTTTTTTAAAGATTTATTTTTTATTTATTTATTTATATAAGCACTGGGTACAGTCAGAAGTGCGGGAGGGTGAGAGAATTCCCCAGAGCCAGAGCGGGGAGCAGAGCAGGCAGACTGAAGTACACTGCTGAGGGGAGCAGTGGGCGGCAAGAGAGGTCTGCGCGCCATGTGGGACCCTACTCTGGTGGCTGGGGAGCAGCCAGGGATCGAACCGGCGCTGAAGAGGCTTAGGACAGCTTCGCAACCCAGCGCTCAACCGCTGCGCCACCAGGGAGGCCCAAGATGTATTTATTTATGCATACAAGAGCTAGGGTGCAGGCCAGAGGCATGGGGGTAGGGGAGTGAGAGGATTCACCAGAGACAGAGTGGGGAACAGAACAGGTGAATTGACTGAAATACACTGCTGAGAGGAGCAGCAGGTGAGACAGGAGAGGTCTGATGCGCCATGTCGGTTAGCTCCCTGGTCAGCCGGGGATCGAGCTCATGCTGCAGTGGCTGTGGACAGCTTCATAGTGCTGACACTGAACCCCTTGGGCCACTAGGGGTGCCCAACGTTGTGCTGTTTTAAACTCTGCAAACAAGCAGAATAAAGGAGGGTTTATAGATGAATGTGCTGACCCAACCCCATTCTTCACTGTAATCCCTACTATTGTCTACTGAAAAACTAGATTTATTGTTACAACATATCAAAGCAAATAGTTTCTGTATGATATATGTTTTTTCATAGCCATCATATTTTTCTCCCTTTAATCTATATATTAGTTCCTCTTTTGACAACTAAAGATGTTCTCTACTTCTTCTTGCAATATCTGCAATAGTGGTTCTTTTTTTTTCTTTTCTTTTTTTTTTTTTTTTGTGGGACCCTCGCCGGTGGCCGGGATTCGAACTGGCGCTGCAGAGGCTGCGGGCAGCCTCGCAACCCAGCGCTCATCCGCTGCGCCACCAGGGGAGGCCTCAATAGTGGTTCTTAATGTGGAATTACAAAAGCAGCAACTGAGATCTGAAATATTCCAATATCTGGGCCCTTCCTTAAACCTATTAAATCTGGACTTGTAAGGGTGGTCCAGTGTTGTTATTTAAAAGTTCACCAGAAAATTCTGACATTAGCCAGTAGTTACTCAGTATTAGATGAAGCAGTTAAGTAAGCATTTGGTCCTCAATAAAATCAACAGTCTCAATACTATGGATTCTCTAACTTTACTGAAGGTTAGAAGCACCAGGGAACTTTTAAAAATTCTGATGTTAGGTCATACTCAAGAACAATTAAGAATCTCTGGGCATCAATCTTATTTTACACTCTTCAGTTAAATACAGTGTATCACCAAACTTGACAACCAAGATTTGTATAATTAAAATGTGACTTGTGGTCCAATAGCATTGGCATCACCTGGAAGTTTGTTAGAAATGTTGGGCATATTGCCGATGATTTTTTTGTCACATTATAGTTGTAGTGGCACTATTTGTACAAAGGGTTTCAGCCTTGCAGCTTAGGACCGAACTTTGAGACTTGTTTTGTTTACCATGTTAATTCACTTAGTGAGGAAGTAGAGAGTAATAATATGACAGAGGGGTTCCACATAATCTGTTTCAACAGGTATCTGGATGTTTTTAGGTTGCTGCAGATCTCCATGACATTTCAGCCCCTTTTCTCTTGCTGGTTTTATATTTAAGATTTGTTAAGTTTAGTTTGTTCAGTTTAATTCTTTATTTCTTTTGTTTCTGGTCTTGCACATGTTTGGTGACTGCAAGAGGTTGAGACAAAGTATGATGCTAAGTGAGAAGTGAGGGAGGTAAAAGTCTTTATGCTCTTGAACTAAAAAAGAAATAACACCCTAAATATGAAGTGTGAATTGCCTAGAGATGCACTGACACCCTGGGATGTGGGAGGAGAAGGCGGTAGCCGCAGCACTGCACCGGAGAGGGGCTAGCTCCACTCCTGCCTGGAACAATGGGGTTCCCTAATTGCATGATCACACCTGAGCCTCCTCCAACACTCCACAAGTAGCAATCTTCTCATGAAGCAGAGAGAGTTGCTCTTAAATAAGTGTTTTAGCATGGATAGAGTCCTAAGAAATCACATTTCCATTTAGGTTGAGTCATAGTCACTTAGCATTGAATTACCTTCCTAGATATAATAGGTACTTTGGGAATTCGCCTAACTTCTTCAGTGGATGGCAAAGAATCAGGGGCTGAGCAATGGCTGTTAGTGGATTGACAAGTCTATAGGCTTGTCAACCTTTTATTTTTTATTTATTTATGCATACAAGAACTGCCTTGTTTTTAAATCTTCCTGTCTCCGCAGTAACTGTCTCACTCTTTCGCCTAGTTTTGTCCTCTGCTTCTGTGCAACTACCTTATTTTCTTTCTGCTTCTTACTCTGAGACTTGCGCACATGCACATGCACACGCACATGCACACACACACATGCACACACACACACTCTACTCTGTAGGCCCCCTGTGTCTCCTTCCTAAAGTGTTTCTCTTAGCTAACAGTGAACCTTCTAAACCTGCAAAGAATCTTTTCTGTAGTAGATAATATATTAGGGTATAAACTCCCCTCAGTTCTGTCAGAACTCAAGGGGTTTTATTGTTTTTGTTTTGACTGTTTGCTCCGTTTCTTTATATTTCATTTCTGAGTGAAATCATCAGGTATTTGTCTTTCTCTATCTGACTATTTCTCTTAATGCAAATGCAATTTCAACTTTTTAAATAGTTGAGTAGTGTGTATATATACTGCATCTTCTTTATGCAATCATCCATCAGTGGGCACTTAGGTTGTTTTCATATCTTGACTTTGTAAATAGTGCTGCAATGAACAAAGAGGTGCACATGTCATTTTGACTTAGTGCTTTTGAATTCTGATACCTTGAAGTGGAGTTGCTGAAGCATATAGTAGATGCGTTTTCAATTTTTTGAGGAATCTCCATTCTGTTTTCCACAGTGTTGCACAAATTTACCTTCCCAACAGCAGTGTGCAAGTGTTCCTTCTCCATACCCTCACCAACACTTGTTGCTTCTGGTATGATTGATATAGGTCATTTTCACAGGGGGGTATCTATTTGTGTTTTGATTTGCATTTCCTTAATGATAAATGAGAATGGACATTTTTTTCATCTGCCTGTTGACCATATGTATATCCTCTTTAAGGAAGTTTCTCAGATAGTGAGTCATTTCAATGTAAATTTTCAATAATGATACTTCACCCCATTAGTGGGTTGAGTGTTGACCCCAAAAAGTTACAACCACAGCCCAATCCCAAGAACCTGTGAACATTACCATGTGTGGTAAAATGAATGTTATCTTATTTGGAAAAAGACTCTTTGCAGATGTAATTAATGATCTTGGGATGAGGAGATTATCCTGGATTATACCAGGGGTTCCTACATCCTATGACAAGTGTATTTATAAATGAAAAGCAGAGGGAGATTTTACTGAGGCAGTAGAAAAGAAGGCACACTTAGATAAGGGGGAACACGAGAGGTAGGAATGAAAGATTTACACATCCACAAGCCAAAGAATATCGAGTTACCAGACTAGAAGAAGCAAGGAAGAACTCTCTCCTAAAGCCACTGGAGAGAAAACAGTCCTGGCAACACCTTGACTTCTGACTTTTAGGCTCTAGTGCCATGAGAAAATACATTTCTGTTGTTTTATATTACCAAGTTTGTGGATATTTGTTATGGGAGTCTTAGGAAACTAGTACAACCCCTTAATGCTTTACACACATCATCAACAA